CAGCCACAGCAATAGCAACCACTTAGCCGTGGCTGCTTGATCAGCTTCAGGCTACCGTAGAGGCGCCGCCGTCGCAAGAGATCGTCCAGGTTGCGGCCTCTGTATGAGAACAGGATCTAAGGCGGGTCTGAAAGTCGGGCAGTAGTAGGTTTCAAAACCACATCGCACTGTTCAGCATACTTGCACCAAGGCGGTGATATGAACTTGACAACGGACCAGAGACGGTAAACACACTGTGGCAATGTGCACAACTCTCAGGGCCTTAGAGCCTTAGTGTGACGCTGGATGATGACGATAGTGACGATGATGCTCGTGATCATGGCGAAAAGATGATGATGCCCAGGAAAACATGTTGACACTGACGGTAGCGTTAATGACAATGTTGTATATGTTGTCATGGAAACTTTGATGTCTTGTTCACTTGCTACGGAGAGCCCGCATTGCGTACCAGGGCAACACTGTCACCGGCATGTCTACTTAGTTGATATGCATGCAGCCTTGTGCCTCTCGTAGCCTGCAGTTTATCCATTCAGTGCACTCATCCGTCGTTAAGTCGCCCCCTGCAAAATCACCGCCACCACCTCCGCCGCCGCCACCACCACCACCACCACCACCACCACCATCACAACAACAACCAGTCAGTCGATGCAGTATCGCTCCCAGTCTGAGGACACCGGTGGGAAGGATCATTGCAATTCTTGGTGTGATGTAGTTTGTACACAAACGAAGACTACCAAGAAACCTGTTGCTTCTCTCCCAGTGCCGCGCGGATAGTGCATGCATAAGACCATGGGCAGCAGAAGCAGCAGCTAGGGCCATGCCGGCAAGAAGGCGAGTTGAACGAACAATGTGGCAATCCTATCAATGCAGGTTTCAAGAATATCGAAAGTGATACTAGTGACACCAACAGCACTTGTGAAGACACTGCTGCTTCCAGGTCGAAGAGAGGCTGGCGGGGTTGAAGTGTGTCCGGTAGGGTTCAGCCAGTTTAGCCACTATGGAAATGCGTAGTTATTATGCAGGGCATCAGGTTGCGATCGGCATTTCCAGGCATTTTACGATATTAGTGGGCAGGAGTTGCGGGTTGTTGAGACTTGCATGCTTTTCGATTTACGGCAACAACGTTTAGCACGATCAGCCACCTTGGATAGTTTTCTGGCATGCATCCGAGAGTCTGCTGCTGGCTGCTGTTAAAGGCCAACGCTAAAGCCCAACAGACTGTGGCAGACATGAATCAACCATAGATCCCACGCTGGAGCCAATGCCGAAGCCTTGGCACCCCGGTTCTCAACTCTCTGGCAAAGGGCCCCGAGACGAAATTTAGCTCCTTTGAGTACCTAGTGCGAGCAAGCTCTCTCCGGTGGCTGATGATGTGGTGATGCCGAAGCTCGAGACGAGGACGACGAAGAAATCCGTGAATGTTGGCGCTACTGTTTCACGACGACGTCAGCGCCTGGTTTTGCTGCTGCCACACTACAACATCGACGACAAGACGACAGCGACCACGGCGGCACCACCACCAGCACCACCGCCGCCATCCGCACCAACCCCGCCGCCGCCACCACCACCACCACCACCACCCCACCACCACCACCACCACCACCACCACCACCACCACCACCACCACCACCACCACCACCACCACCACCACCACCACCACCACCACCCCCCCCACCACCACCACCACCACCACCACCACCACCACCACCACCACCACCACCACCACCACCACCACCACCACCACCACCACCACCACCACCACCACCACCACCACCACACCAAGCCGACTGCAAACACTTTGTGCCGACTACGAAGAGCGAAGAGGAGGAGGACGTTGAATTTTCTACTGATCGCCTGTACTGCACGCTACCACAGCGACAATACCAGAGATGATGATGATGATGATGGCGATGACGACGACGACAATCACGACAGGTTGACACGCTTGTGGTAACTAGTGTGAAACATTGGCTGGTGCTTGCCTCCATAAGTTTGCTTGACTCTCAATTCTTCTGTCTCGGTCAGTTTATGGCTGTCATCTTCAGTATCACTAGAAGCACGGCTTGGCATGCAGCAAAACATGTTGATCCTTTTGCGGCTACGATAAGACAGACTTGATTCAGGGCCGAGGAAGTCCACATGCAAGGCGCCGGAAGTGGGAAGTCAGACATAGATGGCATGGACTTCAAGTTCGTGTTGGAGTTTCGGCCAATGCCTGGGTGAGTGGGCTCGGATCTGGCGTCCGTGTATGCATCCAGGGTTCAGGGGTGCTGGAAGAGAAGCGGGCGGCTTTGGGAGAGCTTCAGAGTGCAGGTGCCTGAACCTTGTACAAGCCCTGAGTGTTGAAATCAACTCTTAACAACCTTGTAGCCAATCGAGACATGTGCCTTTGGCGTTGTGCCAGCAGGTTCTGGTTCACATCTCTAGAAAATCTGATCAGAAGTACACACCGGCCGACAGTTAAAACCCTGACAACTTTAGTCTTTCAAGGTTTGTTATGACCTCGGAGCGGGGGTCTGTCATGCATCGGCCTTGTCAAGTTGAAGGCTGTGACCAGCTCTAGAGAGAGTCAGGCAGCATATACAGGCAAAGGAGACATACATGCAATGAAAAGAGAGGTAGTCTCAACAATCGAAGTAATGGTACTTAGCAGCCGGTTTGGTGATAGTGCGGTCATGGTGACAGCCGTGAAAGCTATCGTCATCATCTCGTCATCATCATCATCATCATGATACTCACCCCCGTCAGTCTCGGCAGCGTGGCTATCGTCATGTTCGTCGTCAACACCGAGGGACATCATTGGCGATTGCTAAACTGCTAAACGATGCTAAGAACAACTACTTCAGCAACAAATCTCTGCTGTCTCATTGAAAGCAGCACGAGCTTCAGGGCCGATGCCGGTCCCCTCCAAGGAGCCGCAGGAGGACTGGCTCTGAAGAAGGGCTTTAGGGCATCCGTCATACAAGGGTCGGAATAAATACTAATCGCAGTCTTTTATATTCCCAACATATGGTTAACTAGTAGTGGATCCCCCAGATGCTGTTCTAATTCTGAAGGATATTGCGTTCGTTTCATGGTTCAGTAGTTTAGCAGTCTGGAGGGTAGTCTTCGGACTGGCAGGGTCTATCGACCAGGCAGTAGTGTTGAGTGTGGAACCTTCGAAACTTTAATCCGCACACCCAAGCCTTTTTTGGATGCTCGAAATTTTGGCTTCCGCACTTGGTCACCAAAGCTGATGCATCACAGAACAGCGATCTCCGGTTGGCTGAACAACGGGTCCTGCCCCGAGCTGGCTCAGGGTTGAGGGTTTGGGGCTCAGAGGTTGCGCACTTTGGAGCATTCAGGGCGAAGGTCCGTCCAGAGAACTTACGGTCTAGTCGGGCACCATGTGGGTGTCTTGCCTGGTCCTGGCCGCTCGACCTGTTATGTTGCAAGAAGGTGTTGCAAAGGGGGGATATCAGGGCTCCCAGCCCAAATGGAAGCTCCATGGATGGGCCCTGAGCCCATTCGAGGTGATGGAGACCGTGAGGAAGATCCACCGCTCTTGGATGGTCAGTACCTCATTTTCGTTTCTGAATCGACACTGGGTGCATGGCCGTGGCTTGTCAGTGTGTTATGTGTTTCACGTGAAGGCCGCCAAGTTCACACAACGATTCCGAAACACTATTATTTTGCCTGCCCGGCCCTGCACATCCCGAATCAAGGCCTGAAAACTGCGTTTTGCTTGCATGAAGTACACAGTAGGAAGGAGGAGGAGGAGGAGGAGGAGGAGCAGCACCAGCAGTCGTGGTAGTAGTCGTCGTTGTCGAGTCGTCGTGGTGGTGGTGGGGGTGGGAGAAGCGGCAGCAGTGGGAGTAACTAGCAGAAGCAGTAGCAGCAACAGCAACAGTAGTAGGAAGTGTCACAGTCATCGATGACCGTGAGCATTCTAAACCCTAAACCGTCAAGCCCAGATCCTAAACCCCTAACTGCATACTCTAATTGCAAAAAATACATAATAGTGTATATATCACATAGTATAAGCGTATCATATAGTATAGTATGATATACTATAGTATACTCTTTACGATAATATTTTGTGGGAGCTCCGAGGCCGGTAAGGTGAGCTCCGGCATCTCCCCGGCTGCAGGAGGCGCCAAGCTCCGTCGTCGGGTTTGTGAACTTTTTAAAGCTCTGCAACTTCCGTAAAGGCTCGGATAGTATAGTAAGGTAGAGTATGGTATAGTATGTATAGTGCAGTGTAGCATAGTGTAGTATAGTGTAGTATAGTCTAGTATAGTGCAGTATAGTGTAGTATAGTATTGTCACCCTTGGCATTATAGGTAGTCTTGGGTTGCAGCTCTCGCCGTCATAATCTCTCTTGACTTGCACCTCTGCACAGGAATGCTTCAGCTGCAGAATGTTGAGCACAAGGAGGCTCACCCCGGCCTAATGGAACGGCTGTGTTTTTGTGCGCCAGGCTTGTCGCAGCATCTGCTTTGCAGGAGACGGGCAAGGAGAAAGTGATCTGGCCATCACTAGGTCAAGAGGTCTGTTGATGAGGGTAGTGCCCTCTAGGTGCTTCTTGGCGGCTGGACGCTTCAAGCGCATGAACATAGAGCCCCATTGCCGAACACGTGTTCCTTATCACTTCCGAAGTTTCCTGAGTCATTGGTCATTCGTCCTTCAAAACTCAAAGCTGGCAGACCCAGCTTCCTGTTCCTTGGGCGGCCGCAGCCTACATTCTTCCTTTGTACATGACGGAGCCGGGAAGTTTCCGGGGAAGGGCCCACCCTGAACGTGTTAAGTTCGGCCCAGCCTATGACAATGAACTTTAAGCCCAAAAAGCTCGGCTCGGAACCCGAAACTGCTCTTTTCAAGTCTGGATGCCTTTGGGACCAGTAAAGGTCCTCCCCTGGGCTTACCGGCTCACCACGAGGGCACAGAACCGGGGGTTTCGGTGTGCTTTTCTGAGTCATGGAAGCTAGCATCGGTGAGTGTTCCAGTCCCGGGTTTTCCTGGGACTTCCTCCCATCTTGAAGCCTAAGCTCTGGGTAGAGAGAAAAGGGTTCAGGGTGGAGCATTTAATTGGGAGTTTCGGGCTTAGGGTGCCTCAAGCCCAGCTCCAGACTTCGCCGGGTTCTGGGCCCCTCGGATCGCAGCCCAGCCTGAGGTGACCGTCCGAGCTTCCGTTTCAATCGGAACCTCTCCCCTGAAGCCACGCTAAGCTGAAGCCCTGAAGATCCAGTGGATTTCAGTTAAGTCGACGGAGAAGCTTTGACAAGATGTCGTCCTGTCCAAAGTGGCTAACCCCTCTGACAGGACGGTGAGTGCGGAGGAAACTTGCTGCCTTGCTGGGCTTCGTGGAATCTTCCAGGGTTCCCCCCCAACTTGAGCACTCTGGGCTTCTGGTTGCAGTTGTCCTGCAGATCTGAGAGAAGCAAGGTTTCCTTGTTCCGGCATGGGACACCTTCGTTGCACAGGTGTCGGCTCAATTGAAGTAAAAAGTAGGTGTCAGCCTAGTTCGCTGTAGCATCAGTCCATATGCCCTGCATGGTATGTCGGGCAGCATGGCGCAGTGCTGTCTCAGCTCCAGCTGCAAAAATGAATGTAGGTTTCGCAGCAGAGAGAGGGGCATCTGTCTGTTTCAAAAGAAAAAAGGGCTATTCGGTTGCACGTTCCTTTCTTAATTTACCAAGATAGGATTGAGAGATGACAGGATCGATAGACGGCAGTTGTTGGCCGCCGTTGGGGTTCTTGACGCAGGAAGTACATTTCTGCAATATCTAGGGAAGCCTCGCATGGCTTGGTGAAGTCGGGAACTTGCGACCACATGGTCGGAGCCTCACAAGGTTGCCAGGCAGCGCATCCTGTTTTTCTGATTCCGAAGTTCACGTTTCAATGTTGGGGTTTAGGGTTTAGGTTCATAGAGGATTGTCTCCGTGCCTGTATATGATGCTCCAATGTGCCGCGAATGAGCAGGAGGTCAATGATTCTCGGCACTTGCTTGCCCCCCCCCCCCACCCTCGCCGCACTGCTCGCAGTCCAGGCCAAGACACCACAGCTCAAAAGGCTCAGATGCCAAACCAGACCTCGCGCCTCGAAACGTGTTACTTGGAACAGACGTGAAGTTTTGGCTCTCAACTACCATACCTAAGCCCTCAACCCTTAGTGCTTATATAGTTCGGGTTTTAGGTCCACAGCCCTCACTTCCTTGAATTCACCCTTGAGGTGGAATGTCACGCGGCGCTCTTGGGCGGAGCTTTCGGCGCCCTAGGCCGGTGGCCGAGTGCAGGGAATACTACGTGCGACGTGAAATGATTGCGCGACAGCAGTTGTTACATAATCATCGTCTAATCATTCAAACTCTTCATGAGCTGGGAATCTTCCACACAGAGTTACTTAGATCCAGCCGTGCAGGGGTTGCACAGGCATCAGTCAGGTTGCAGAACTTCTAGTTGTTTGGAGCTCGGATTGTCTAGCCGCTTGGCTTGAAAAATACAGGTTTACGTAGGAGTTGGAATCTGGATTCTGCCACATTCGAAGGCCGGGGCCGGGCATCAGGAAAAAGCCCAAGTCTAGCTTACGGCAAGCTGCTGCCGGAACCTTCGACCGTTGACCGACGCAAGTCCGTCGACCCGGCGGAGACAGCTGATCCTTCCAATCCATCTGCGCCCGAAAGAGCACACAATTCGCCAAACCCTGACAAGCCAAAAGCGCAAGACCCTACTGCCCGACCCCAAGGACCAAACCACGAAACCCCAAGCCTTCGCCCAGGGCCCCTTCTGTCCAGCGGCGTTGGCTCGGGCCTCAAAGCCAGCTTTGCCTGCCAGCGGCGTCGAGAAGACCCTAAGCCCGTAAGCCCCGCATCCTGAAGCTAAACAGCATTCTAAATCCCAAATCCTCCGCCCCAAGGGCAGCAAAATTGTAAAGGCAAACAGGCAGGCTAAGAGTTCAGGACCAGAGGTTGCAGAAGGTGGAGAAGCTCGGGGTTGGTCTTCGGCACTTTGCCAGACAATGGAATGTAAATGCTACTCAGGTACTCACACCCTGAGCTGCGCACAGCACCGTTGGATTTGTCCTTTTCGCTGCTGAGTTTTAAACAGGCTCTGAGAAGCGTTAGTTTGGAGATTCAGGGATCCGGAGCTTTTTGCAAGTTTTAGTCGTGCTTCCGGTGCCTTGCCTTTAGCCATTTCGGTTGGGAGCTCCGGCCAGTTGTTTCCTGGCCTCCTCTCGAGCCAGCGCCTCGCGAGTTTGGCGACAGCCGAACAGAAGCGGAGGCGCTGGCCGTCTGAGGCCCAGGGACCAGGGAGGGTTTCAGATTCCTCTGATTGGGAGATTGCGTCGAGTTTTCTGGGTTTTGGCATTCTGTTGGGTGGATCTCATGAAGAGGCAACCGGACAGAAAGCCCTCCAATGCCGCGAAGCTCGGAGCACAGAACTCGCCAACAACGCCCCAGGGCTCAAACCCTCGCAGCCACAGCCGCCACAGCCTTCGGCTTCCTCTCCAGGCGGCAGGAATGGCTGAGGAGTGGCAGAGCATCCCTTCTCGAAGGAAGACCAAGGCCCTCCTTTTCGCAGGGAGCAGAATCCTACAAGGCATGCAGCTGAAGCGCGCGAGGTCCAAGGCCATAGGGCTTCAAGGTTCGCGATGGTGTTGTCGGTGTTCAGTGCTTCGGATTTGAGGACGCAGAGAGCAGGCAACTGAGGAGTTGATCTTGAGACTCTGAGCTCGTCAGATCGGGGGCCCTTGGACAGGCATCCAAGGGGCCCGCCTCAGCGCATCCTAGCATCTTGGCCAAACTTTGCTCCATGATGTTGGGGTGCTAAACCTGACTTGTCGGAGTGGGGATGGTGAGTACCTTCTGTTTCTATTGCAGGGCTGCTGTTCAGTTACTTACCGTCTCGTCACTCCTTGCCGTTTTTGTTCATGAGCGGGTCCGATTTGGAGTGGTCATGGCGGTCGTCATGCATGTCTTGGACCTTACTTGTGCCACAATTGCTTGTAAGCTCCAACTACGTGTCCAAAGGTGTGTACAGTCTGAGGTGAGAATGTGCCCAAGTTCTTGGCCGAGTTCAAGACCAAGGAGTGCCCAAAAAAGGAAAGGCACGACTGGAGGCAATGTGAATGTTTCCACCACCAGGCCAAGGATCGGCGCCGCAATCCCTACAAAGATCCTTACCTGCCTGAAGACGAGTGGAACGCTACTGGCGTGGAGAAGGCATATCATCCAGTCACTTTCCGAACACAGCTCTGCGAGAGCTTTGCCAAGGGGGGAAAGACCTGTCAGTATGGGAGCTGGTGTGCCTTCGCACATTCCGCGGAGCAGCTAAGAGAGGATGCGAGCGTACAACACGAAGCTTTGCCGAATTGGTTGCGTTAAGTCTGTGGAGATTGTTTGTTCAGATGGAAGCGGCTAGAAGACAGATGCCAGAGAGACGTTGACCATTGCTTAGTTTGCAGTACTGCTTTGGCTTGTTGACCGAGGAAAGGTACACGGAGCAGTTTGCTGATCAGCTCTTTCCGAAGGCCTTAAGTTGCCGCAAACCGGGAATCGCGTCTCGATCTGTCGGGGGTTGTACTTTAGGAAACTCGAAACTCTCCGAAGTATCCTGCAGGAAGCATGTGAGCTGCCAGAAGCAAGCCGGACAGTGCAGGTGCAAAGGAAGACTTTGCAAGACTATGTGGGCACGGCTCCACCTTCTGCAGCTCCGTTGAGTATCCGCAAGGTGGAATCAGTGGCCCCACTACTGTCGCGAATCTCTGGTCAGCAGACACAGGGCCTTGAGCTGAAACCCTACGAAGCTCAGATTTTCCAGGGCATGGGGGCGGGACGAAGTGGAGCTGTTTCTGCCTTGCTTTCCGCGGGATGTGGAACACATGTTCAGTCATTGTCTGCATACCGCAGAGCGGACTTTCGAGCCCTAGCTATGAAAATAAGGAAGTCTGGCTGTTGCAGAAGTCCGACAAGTTTTGGAAAGGCCACTGGGCGACAAAGCACATTGTTGTGCTAAGTTTTGCGGCAGGACCAAGCATTGCTCATTACCCGTCGCCAGACATCGCCAATTCCAGTGGCTGTGCCGTGCAGTCGCATCGTAGGACACATCAAGGGACTCAAGGCCGCAATATCTCAGCCAAAGCATCCGCCTGAGGAACATGGTAGTGACTAAGACTAGGAGGTTTCATTAAGTTGTACCACAGTTGCAAAAACCTGATCCGAGCTTGTCCAGTGTCTCTGTCTGTTCAGATTGGAACTTCAAGCCACTGCGAACTATTCCGAGACATGAGCATGTCATTGTTAGAGATGACGTTCTGGTGAGGCATGTGAGGTAGCAGAAAGCAAAACGAGCGGCAAAGGCCAGTCTTTGCACGAATCCCTTCCGGTTCAGATCGGCGCGAAACTGCCACAACCGCTACTACACACTCAGAGGCTACTCTTCTCCTGCTTCTCGATACCAACACCGCCGCTCCTTTTCTTCGTGTTTCCGTTGCAGCTGATACTGATCACTCCCTAAACCCTAAGCACTGATTTCAGAAGCACTGACCTTCAGCCTGCAAACCGGTTTTCCTGCGCATGAGCAACGCTACGATTTTATGCTTGGCACATCTGCTTTCAGACCACAGCGTGCTCTGCCAGCAGCAGATCTGGAAGATCTAGAGATTCGTTGAACGATTGTCTGGCTTGAGCTGCAGATGGCCTATGGTAGTACGGTAGCAGCCAGTCATTCCAGCAGTTTTTGAAACTCTTCACGACATGGCTTGTCAACGGCACAGCGTTCGGCGACAGCGCCCCTGCACCCTGCTTTGACAAGGCGTGTGCAACTGTGCCGTCGACAAGCTCTGCACCGTCGAGATCTGCGAAGACTCCGGTGGCGCTTGTTTGGAGATCCGCGGTGCGAAGGTGCAATTACAGCTTGGATGTTGGCTTCATGATGGATTTACAACAGCCACTATAGGTCCCATAGGCCCTAATTAATCAAACCCAGCTGAGCCCTTGCATTGCTGTTTACATGTCGCCATCTTGCCACAGGCTGCGGAAGTCGTGAAGACAATGGACGCTAAGCTTCGATCCGTGCCGAAGGACGTGGCCAGCATCGACAAGCGCGAGTATGAAGAGCGCACACTGCAGAAGTTGGAGGCCGATCGTGAGTTGCGAGGACAGATGTATAGCTCCGTACATTATGGGTAACGTTTTCGAGCACCGTTGTCGCAATCGCTCCAGGCTCTGATCAAGCAACCTGACCAGAAAAAGCTGTTCGTGAGTCAGGCGGAAGCTCATCATGTGCCTGGGATAATTGAAAGTTCGGGTTCTGGTGGGCTCTGTGTTTATGATGACCCGGTTGAACAAGCGCGCCAGAGATTCTAGTTCCCAGCTCGTAGATGTCGGTTTCAGTTGCTCGGTAGACGTGTATGTGTGTGTGTGTGTCAAACCAGCATCATCCGGGGTGCGACTGTAGCCTGGCAGCACCAAGGTGCGCATTGACACCGGTCCTGGGCACGCGCAAGCGTCTCGGATTTGTCTAAATGGACAGCGTAGTTGTCTATAGGCCTCGGAAATCCAAGCCCAGGTCTGCGTCGTGAAGTCGATGGGCTCCGTGACTCAGGCCAAGGACGTGCTTGACAGAATTCACAGCTGGCTGACGTACAATGGGTTCGCCACGGTGGGAAAAATACAACTTGCCGACTGTCAACGCTTTTTTGTTCAGTTTCCGTCACATTCGCATACTATGGAACTCGAGATCCTTCTCCCCTGGCAAGGTGGTGCAATGCCAGAGCTGCCTTGACCCTTTCTTTGAAAAAGAAGGCATGCGATGTCCAAAGGGCCACTTTCTCTGTGCACCCCGAGAGCGTGCAGAGGCATCCAGTTGCTTGGAGGCCCGCTTTTGCTACGGCGAAATATGTGCATACATATATATATATATATATATATATATATATATGTATATGTATATGTATGTATGTATATGTATATAGTATTATACAATATATATATGGTATTATACATATATATATATATATATTATTACTACTATTGTTATTATTATGATTATGATTATGATTATGATTATTATGATCATTATGAGTATTATCAATATTGTTATTATTATTATTATCATTATTATGATTATTATTATGATTATTATTATTATGATCATTATTATGATTATTATTATGATTATTATTATGGTTATTATTATGATTATCATTATGATTATTATTATGATTATTATTATTATTATCATTATCATTATCGTTATCATTATTATTTTTATTATTGTTATTATTATTGTTATTGTTATTGTTATTATTATTATTGTTGCAAGACCCCTGCGCAAGAATGACACGCCCTTGCAGGCCTTTTTTGCTCAGCGTATATAAAGTTGTTGCGTGCTTTCGGGGTGTTAGTCCAGGGTCGAGCCCAGAGTCCCAAGCGTAAGAACCCAGGTTCCTCTAAAGGCCCTTCCCCGGTAGATCCTCGAAAAGAGGTTAGGAGCCCAAGCCCCCTTAGGGTCCCTTTAGCTCTACTTCGTAGGCTCAGGCCCCTAAGTATCGCCCTCCGCTCCCTGAACTTTGTAAGTCTAGGCTCTAAGTCCTAGCTTAGTCGGGTGTATCTAAGTGCTGAGCTTAGTTGTAGGAGTGTAGTCTCCTTCCCCTCGAAACCATGGACACCTCTCTCCGCCGGCGCAGATCGGAGCGCCAAGATCCTGATTTTCAGGATACGGAACAGGCCATGGCGTTGGAGGCCGAGATCGAGACCCCAGCTTCTTGAGAAGGTCCAGCGGAGGCTCATCCTTTTTGGTCGGAGCGAGCTAAAGCTGAAGTGGAGTTGCAAAGGGCTAGGCCACAAAGCCTAAGAGAAGCCAAGCTTCCGGAAGTAAAGGTGGATGAGGCTGTTTTGGAGCCAGACTATGATTTGGGGCCCGGGGGAAAGGGCCGAGGAGCTTCGCCGGTTATGGAAAGCGAGGTTGTGAGAGCAGCTTCAGGAAGTGCAAAAGGGTCAGGAGCTGTTTCTGGAGCAGGCCCAGCAGAGCCGGGGTTTCAAGGACTCCCTAGCTCCGGGGCCGAAACAGGCTACAAAGCAAACGGAGCCTGTGGACCTCTTGTCGATGTCTCCTATGAAGATGACCTCTGAGGGAATAAATAACCCTCGGTTTCAACCACCTACGATCCCGGAGATGGAAGGACCTTTTTCCCTGCCTGAACGCGAGAACCCAAGTCCAAAGCCGTCTGCCATTCTGGATGTGGAAACGGCTGGACACCTGCCGATGCTGCAGCATGGAGCCACTGAACGACGGCAGTCAGGTGTTCAGGACCTTTCGAATTCTGGAGTTCCTGCTTCGGAAGTTGGGGAGTTCTCCAAGATTGGTGGGCCACGGATGATGCTTGGGAGTTCTGCGGGCTCTACGCTTCAGGAGTTCTCGTCAACGACCGGAGTAGGGGCTTCAGAAGGGAAGGTTCTGAACAGGTCTCACCTCGAACTAGATTCTGGTAGCGCGAGAGTAGGAAACGAAAGGGCTGAAAGTGTCAGTGAAGGCACAGCAAGGAGGTTTATCCCTCTGTCTCCAGAAGCCCAGAAATCCCAGAAGAGTTCGGCCTATGAGATTCCGGATCCTTCAGAACAACACTTCGAAATCGTTAGACTACGGTCTTTGGTTGAGCATCTTCATGATAGGCTAGAGAAAGCTGAGGCTGAACGTAGTACGAGAGGATCCAGATCTTTTGGGTCGGCCTCTTCTGGGCGTAGAGTAGAGGAACTAGAGCTCAAGGGCCAAAGGGTAAACTTTCAGCCTGAGGAGGGTTATCCTTTGCCCCCGGTGCCACCTCTGCCTCCTTTCGCCTCTGAGGGGTGGTCTTCCTGGAATGCTTCGGACCCCCTTCATTCCACTCACGACCTGGTTTTGGGTCAGGAGCCTCCACGTCAGTCCTCCCTCGATATGGATTTTGGCCCATCTGTTCATTCCCCGATGGTTTTTCCTGGGGACATGGTGCCTTTGACTTCAACTGCGAGTGCTCCTGGGGCCACCCTTTCGCCTTCTGAGGTTCCGTCTATGGACTTTGGACTTCACTCTTTTACAGGGCCCCCAGGAGTCCAATCCTCCTCAGGGATTCACAATCCCGTTTCTCCTTCCGAGGTTCCTTCGATGGACTTTGGACTTCATTCTGCTGCGGGTGCTGGACCTCAGTACTTCGCTTTGTCTCCCCGTGCCCAGTTGCCGACTCCGTCTGGTGTGATAAGGGTTATGGGAGTTAATCATAGCTGGAAGGTGGTTAATGGTTCGTTGGTTTTAGAGCCTGTGGACTTCGTCCCTCCTCCTCCTCCGCAGTGGACTTCGCCCTTGGTCGCAGCTCCGCCCATTCCGGGGGCGTGGAGCAACAGTCCATCTCCTCCTAAGTACCCTGCGTTTGGAGCACAACTTCCATTGCCATCTTGCCATGCTGTCTCCTCCTGCGCGGGAGCGGCAATGCTCCGAGGCCTCCTTCGTCCACTCCGCCTCCGAGCCCACCGGCCCCTTCGGGTTTAAGTCTTCCCATAGCTGCCCCGCCGGTTGGAGCTAGTGGTCGGGTTGAGGTTAAGGACCTTAGGCCTGAGGCTGTGGGTAAACATGTAAGTTCCCTACCGTCCCTAGAGGCCTACAACCCTAACAACCCCACCGCGCTTGGAGATTGGATCGCAGTGGTCCAGCCGATGATTTCTTCACTGTCAGACACCGGAAGTGTCTGGTGGGGTTATACATACCAGGCGGCCAACCAGGCCTATGTGAGGTGGTTGTCAACCTCCCCGCTTGAAAGGCTGTCGATCCAGAAGGAGTTTCATCAAGTAAACTTGGTGCAGCCCCAGCATGCCTTGCTGGAACAGCGATGTGTGACCTTGATTCTTCAGGCGATCCCGGATGCTGTGAGGGTTGACATTGTCGCCTCACGCCACCTGAGTGTGGCAGGAATGATCTTCCGTCTGATGACGGTGTTTCAGCCTGGGGGAGCGTCAGAACGATCAACCATGTTGCGTTTTTTGGTGACGCCGAAGGCGGCTTCCACCTTGTCGGAGGCTGCAAAGCTGCTTAGGCAGTGGACCCAATGGCGTATGCGCCTGAAGCAACTGCATGCAGCAGAGCCTGACACTACGCTTTTGGTGAAGGGTCTAGATGTTCTGACAGGAAGGGTGTTGCAAAAGCACTCAGCGAGCCTCTTCCGGCTTGCCACTTTCCGCGAGCGGCTTGGGGTTGACTACCAGCCGACCTCCGACGTTGTGTCGGAGTTGTGTCGAATGATGCAGGCGGAGGTGGAGCATCTGATGCACTCCACAGATGACAATCCTGTGAAGGATGAGGTTCCGGGCCGAGGGGATGATGCTAAGAAGCAGCGCTTGCAGCGCTTGCAGACGTCTCCGAGTACCCCGATGGCCAAGACTTCTCCCGCGGGACCCAAGACGCCGGGTGCAGGCATGAAGCCTTGCAGAAGCTGGCTAACAGCTGGCGGTTGCGCGTATGGGTCGTCCTGCCAGTTTTTCCATGACCAGGATGAAGAAAAGATGCGGGGCCGATGCTTCAGTTGCAGTGCCGAAGATCACTGGGCAGACTCATGCCCGGTGAAAGCCAGGTTGAAGGCGGAGGCAAAGGCCGCCAATGAGGAGTCCCCTTCCACTAGCCCTAAGCCACCGAAGGCCCCTGCCGATTCCTCCCCTAAGGGTAAGACTAAAGGGAAGGCTAAAGAAGGGAAGGGTAAGGAAGGTAAGCCTGGGAGTAAACCTAAGGTTGCCACCGTAGACCCTCAAACCGCGCCTGCCGGAACCGCGAATGACCAGGCAGAGGCTGCAGCTCCGAGTTCGGGGGATCGCAATGCAGCCATCAATGCAGAAATCTTGAGCGTGCTAAGGTCGATAAAGACCAAGGCCCTGCGGCTTAGTGCTGTGAGCAACCCGACAGGCTACGGCTTGTTCTTCCGCTTCACTCCGCCAGGCCTCACCTCAGGAGATCCAGGAGTCCCGCCCGGTGAGCGTGTCTCTCGCCGTTGGCGAAGCTGTGATGCATGTGAACTCCGCCGGAACTCTGTTGGTAAGGGAGTCTGTGCAGCCAATCTTGCCGATGCACGCGTTGCCGCTTTTGGGCTGTGAGATCAACTGGACTGATCGGGGCATTCATGTGCGGCATCCAGGTCTCGGGATTCTCCCGGTGAGACTTAAGGATGGCGCCCCTGAGTTGCCAGAGTTTCTGGTGCTTCGCCTGATTGGCGAGTACGAGCGCTTCCTCTTGCGCCGGGAGACCTCAAGGGCCGTGTCGCAGCAGCTTTGGCAGCGATCAGTTGGCCAGGAGGAGGTTGGGCTTTCGTCCTTAAGGGAGTGGGTTGCAGCCCATGTGGCGGCAGATTCGTGCAGCGAAAGTGAGCTGCAGCTGATCGTTAAGACCCTCTTTCCCGGGCTCCCAGAACGGCTAGCGTCTCAGGTTGCGGTGAGTCCCACCTTTGATCCCTCCTGTGTTCCTTTCAACCGACGGACCAGGAGGCAGCTGCTTGCTCCTCAGGTCCCAACCTTGGTGCATTTGTTTGCAGGAAAGCAGCGGTGGCGACACTCGGTCGGCCAAGTGCTTGAGGTCGATATCTCCAGGGGATCGGACCTTCTTTCTGATGATGTGTTTGGCATGCTGCTGCGGGCAGCCACCCTGGGTGTCATCGATGGGGTCGTATGTGGCCCTCCGAGCAGGACCTTCAATCCGGAAGCCCTGGCGTCTTCCTCTAATGGCTTGAAGTTTAGAGGGGAAGAAGGGGATGATAGGTTTGGGTTTTCAGACCTTAGCCCTGCCGATCGTGCTTTGGTTGATCGGGACACCCTGTTGTTCCTTCGGTCCCTGCTGTTGACCTTTGTGGCCTCGTGTGCCAAA